GATTTTTGAAAAATTTTCGAAAATTTTCTCAATACATGCAACTCTATCAATTTCTGACGAATTTTAATCATCTTTTTTTTATTTTGTTCATTATATTTTAAATTCTTTTATGGAGTTTTCAGACTTTTTATTATTATGTGGGATATTTTATGGGACAAAAAAAAGTCTTGGGAACCAACATTTTTAAACGATTTTAAGAATTTACATATCACCCAAAAACTATATTTTATTAGATTATAAATATTAATGGAAGTATGCAATTTCGAACATTTGAAGTGCAGTTACTTAGGACAAAAAGCCACGTTTTCTCGCTAGTTTTCGAGTATTTTTGTGTAAAACACCCAGAAATGTCGGAAATTTACATGATCTACATTTTGTCCGGATACTTTTGGCAGGTGAGTGTATTAACCCCCTGTTTTACCATAAATGATATTCGTTTGGATTTACTTTATACATAAACAATCGATCTTGCTACGATCATGCGTATATTATATACAAGTATTGTATATAACACTATTGGGATGTTCACAATGTCATATAAGAAATGCGCACATTTTGTGATTACTAAAAAAATTTTTATATTAAATAAAACAATAAACAATGTTCATATGCCAAAATTTTGAATATCTGGTCCATTTAATAAAATCATTAAATGATTATTCAATGTATTAATATTCATTTTGTTTCTCAATTTGTTTTTTATCAACTTCATTTCAAAATATTCTTTCCGCGTGTGCATTAGAAAAAGGTATAAGGAGTGCTATTTTAATAATTGTTGAATTTGGGTAATCGAAAGAAAACTTATCGTTTGTATCTAAAATATCTTTCCACACAAATCCTTTTCAGTGGACATGCTTCAACCCTATATTAATGTTATAATTATATGATAATCTCATTTAGTAATTAATGATGGTATTTTATTATCCATACACCCATACGTATATAAATTATTACACGAAACTTAGTCTCAATTTTTTTATACAAGTAAATAATAATAATTTTTCAAATGCCAAGGCTCAACCCAATTTTTAATTCAAGAAAAAAAAATTAATCAATAGGTTTTGAAGCTCGAGTCAACAATAAAAAACAACGATTTTTGTTTTAGATGATCTGCACCATATACTTCCAATCAATTCATGACTATCTCGTTTTAGTAACGTTTCTTTGCCCTCAAATCCCTATAAATATACTGATTCCCTTTTTCAACAAATTAAAAAAAAAAAAAAAAAAAAAATGTTTTCAACAACATTACCACTTGAACTTTTAATCGAAATATTTAAATATACCGAAAATGATGATGATTATAAAACATTATATTCTTTTATTCTTGTCAATAAGCAATGGAACAATATTAACATTCCAAAGCTATGGAAAAATCCATTCTATAATGAAAAAAGCACCAAAATATTAATTAATTGTTTGTATGCAGAAGAAGACAAAGAGTTAAATAGTGTTGAATTGAACTTTGAATTATTGGAGAAACCACTGTTACATAATTATGCAAGATTTACTACAGAGCTAGATTTTTGGAAAATTATTAATAATTTAAATAAGTTAGTAGATGATTATGATTCTGATGAATTTGATTGCTTCAGAAAAAAATTAGTATATTTTATTTTAGATTCTTCAACAACTATCAAGAAACTTGACTGTACTGCTTTAACATGTCAATGGTTGATCACAATTAATAATCGTAAATTGGATACTTGTGAATGGTTGATTGATCATGATAGGTTTGATACTTGTTTTCAAAATCTTTATGAATTTAAATGTAACTATTCCAGTAGTCCTAAATTAATAGATAAATTAACAAAGGTTTGTAAAAATATTCAAATTTTGAAAATACATCATAAGGCTTTCTCATACGAATATCAACCAAGCATATCCAGTAGTTCCAGCTTGTCATCAACTATTACATTTTTTAGCATTGGCTTTTCATCAAACAAGAATGCTGATTACAATCTAACTCAACTGATCAAGGCACAAAATCAAATTAAACGATTGGATGTTGATTCACTTGATAATAGAAGTATATCAGAAGACCTGAAAAAGCAATTTCAGATCATTCGTGATAATTCTACCAACACTTCATAACCATCATTATATAGTCTTGATTTTACCATTAGTAAAGAAGATGGAAAATTTTTATAATCTTATGTTATCACCAAATATTAAACTTTTTTTCTAGAAAAGAATTGCTACCGGATAACCTTTTCTATTGGACTTGTCAGCTTTCATTATTTAAATTTGGCCAGATGTTGATGGTTAACCAAAAAAGACATTGGGAATTTTTAAAAGGATTTTTATTCATAATCACTAAATCATAGTAAAATAGAATCATTATCAATTTTTTTTACATTAATTCCTGGAATATGTTTTTTATGCATATTTACATGTATTTGATGGTGATAGTAGAAGTTTTAAATAAAGCCATGATTTTTAATTAAAAGTTATCAAAAATTTATTAAAGGTCCTATAAAAAATTTCTTTGGAAAATTTTTTTGTATTAATAAATGAATCGATGAATAAATAAATAAATAATCTATACATTCAAATTTTTTTTTAAACAGCATAATTTCTATTATTGGTTAATGTAATAAATATTATATTATATATATACAATGTTAAATAATAAATAGTATAATAACAATAAAAGAATTAAAAATACAAAGTTATTTAAAAGAAACGTCCTAGTTATTTTTTTTTGTTCTTTGAAATCAGATGATCCCTTAAAATTTTTAATCTCTTTAGATTTAGTTTCTTCTCTCATCTGTTTCAAAAAAGGCATTAAATCAGTTCCACCAGTGCCTCTAACTACATTTGAATCATTATAAATCTTGTTTGATGTGGTAGCAGTGATGTTACCATTAGTAGTAGTGGCACCATTAGTCATCGTAGTAGCACCACCATTATTATTATTATTATTATTATTATTATTATTATTATTATTATTATTATTATTATTATTATTAATATTATTATCATTATTATTATTATTATCATCATTATTATTATTATTAGCAGCAACAAAATTAGTTGTAGAATCGTTAGAAATAGTACCATTTGTAATTGAACCATTTATAATTGAACCACTAGTGACAGCACCATTGGTAACATCTATTGAAAACATTGAAAATAAAATAAGAAAATTTATTATCAAGTGTTAGAAAATATCAAATCTGACAAACCAATTATATGCATATACATATACATACCTTTATTATTAGAATCTAGTTCCACTTTTGAACTTTTATTACGTGCTTGAATAATGTAAACGCAAACAATTTGTAAATGCTTGGATCTGAAAATTGCCATTTTATTTAAACAGTCATTGTAGGCTTCAACCAATTCATTGTTTTCAGCGATTTTACTACTGTCTAATTTACCATCTATTTCCATATCACCATCACATTCAATACATGATATAATATAATCACGTATGATTGCAGCTTTTGTCAAATCTTCAAGAAATCTTCGATGATTCCCAGGAATGTTTTGACGAATCTTGTAAATATAAGGTTGCTGTTGCTGCTGCTGTATATTCTGTCCTTTTTTGCTTGTATTATTATAGTTGTTACTGAGGGTTTCATTAGATGGCTCATGAGAATACTTATAATTGTTAATATTGTTTGTAATTGGCTTAGTGACAGTTGGATGATGTTCAATATTAAGTGCAATGTCTAATGATTGGATCAATGAGCTTTGACCAGCACTTCCACCACCATACTGGCGATAAGTAGGATTTCCATTTTCATCACATCCATCCACACCTTCGTATTTCAATCCATTTGGTAAATCTTCATCATTATACCAACCAGACAAATAAGGTCGTATCTTCTGATAAAAGATATAAGAATCACATTTTTCATAAATCCGAAGAAGAACTTTGGTGATTTCATCAATGGTTGAACTAATAGTTTTTAAAGATTCAATCAGTTGTCTATTGTTTTTATCATGAGCAGATTGTATCGCAGAAATAATCGCAGTCAGAGCTTTCCCACCAATACATTCAATAACAATTGTAACAAGGTAAAACCAAGATTCATCAATAGTATTTGTGAAAGTCATTAACGTAGCAAGATTGCTATTATATTATTTTAATTATTTATTTGAAAAAAAAAAAATTTTTTTAAATTAGAAAAAATAATAAAATGCACTTTTAAAAAAAATATTTCTTATAAGATATTAACTTTAAACTTGGTTCTTCATCAGGAGAGATTAAACGCCAATTCCATAACGTTAAAGCCGCATGATTCATTACTGGTGCCACATTAAGATAATCAGATATTTTGACCCATGGTATAGCAATACAAGCTGGTATACTCTAAATATATACAAATAAATAAGATCCATGTATAAAGAAAAAGTAAAAGAGAAAAAGAAATCTATCAATCCTTACATCGATCACAGATTCATCATATTTCCCTCGAACATAACCATGTGCTAATATTGATAAAACCAAAAAAGCACGTTTATATTCTGCAGAGTTTTTAAGTTTATCCGTTCTTAATATTGGTAACTAAAACATATAGAATTTTATTATAAATTATAAACACATGCATTAATAAATATTCCAAAAAAATAATTGTTAACAAACCATTCCAACAGACTCTCTTAGACGGCCAGTTAACAATAAGTTGTGAAAATTGTCAATCAAGTTTTCCCATGGCTCATAATAAGTATCAGGTAGACAACGTAGGGGGGGAGTAGATTGAAGAAATCCAGTTTTTGGACTGATGTCATAGTCTTCAAGGTGGGAAATGATAAATGATTTTTTTTCATTTCCATTTTCTAGGTTATTAGGAAACATTATAGAGGAGAAATATATAATATGTATATATGTTTGTAAATTAGTTGGTTAAAATATAATTATTCCTAATTATATTTATGATGAAAGAAAATTGGTTGGTTATAAATTATTCATCATGTTTTTAAAAAATTTTCAACCCATATTTGGGCAATCTTTTGATTATATAAAAAAGAACACCACGCGATAAACAAGGATTAACGAATTAATTCTCCTTGCATTGCAGCCATTCCACACTATCTATATTTGAACATACATTATGTCAGAAAATCGCAAGTTCAAAAATTTCACGCCGGTATGATCTTTTGAGGCGTGTAACATCAAAACCTATGCAACTAAAAATTTGTGCGGAAAAAAAAATCGTGCAACCAAATTATATGAGAAAAGGAAGAAATTTTCCCAACCTGTTTTTTTTTTGTAAAGATGGAAATATTAATTAATATAAATATCAACAAAATATGCGCATTTTAGTTACACTGGTTTTTGTTTGATGTTACAATACTGTACTCAAGCATTTGAAAATTAGAGAAAATCGCCTGTGAAGTTTACCAGAGTATTATAACAAAGGAAGGAAAATCTGAAGAGAAATAATTTACTACTTAACTGTCATATATTATTAAATAATATGATAAAATAGACGTGTGTAATTTCTTTCTATAAAAAAGAATTGGGGTGGATTGGTTTGGCTTTCTTGGCTTTTAGTTCAATTATTTTGCCTTGTTGCTTTCTTGTAATTTAATCTAATCTTTTCCTCCCGACTAACTCATCTTTTTTTAATTTCTTCTATATATGACGCCATTCAAAATTTAAGTGCAAGTAAGAATGGTTATTTATCTAGAAAACGTTGGCAAATATGGCATAATTATTATCCTTCATTTATTATTATTCCCTCATCATTTGTCCACCAATCCATAATTGTTCTAATAACATCGGCAATATCCTGAGTTTAAGGATCCTTAGTTCTTTTGAAATTTTTAAGGATTCCTTAAATTTGTTACAAAGATCTCCATATTGATATAATTAAACCGATGACAACTGTTTACTTAAAATACACTATATACTTCTACTAGATTATTTTAAAGTCTTTGGAGTATTGTTGTTATTTAATGTGTCATTATTATTGTTGCTGTTATTATTATTATTATTATTATTATTATTATTATTTTTATTTTTATTATTATTATTATTATTATTATTATTATTATTATTATTATTATTATTATTATTATTATTATTATTATT